TTTGTAGTATCAAGCTGATGTGTTGTTGTTATATTAATTAACAATAGCCATTATAAAATTGCCCGCAGTTTTCTAGAAGCTGCTATGGGCTATTCCTGTTATTTGCAACTTTAATAAAATTAATAAGATCTACTAAATAGTGACTGCCAGTTAGCTGACTACAAGGCTACAGACCCAGATCCTGCTGGCTTCTCCTCTTTTAGTGGAAAAGCTGTGTTCCCCGGAACATTTCTCTGTATTCTTTATCTCAAATCAAGTATTCAAGGGGTGGGGATTTAGCTCAGTGGCTCCATGCCTGCCTCTCAAACATAAGGACTTACGTTTGATCCCCAGTACCGGAAAAAAAAATCCAAGTCAATACAAGTTTTCATTTCCTAAAGACAGCCAAGACAGCTTTGAGGAGAGGCCAAACCTGACTCCTATGCCTGACATCAGAATCCCAAAGCTTCTGAGAGATGTTGTATAGCTCAGAGCCAAGTAAAGCTAAAGCTTCTAGAATGGCAAATGCACCAAGCATCCTTAACCATCTCCTGTGGCTTCCAGCATCTGGGGTGAAAATAGGAGGCAAGAGCATTGTGGGAATCATTCCAGAACTCCCTCCATGGTATGTTTGGGTATTCCCAATGCAAATACAGAAGCAGCATGTTATTTTATTTTTAAGATAAAAATCAACTCCATGCCATTAAGTTGTTATTGTATCTAATAACATGTGACATGAGGCCCATCTGTGACCCCAGCCCTGCAGTCGCTTAGAGTTAAAATTACTGTGCGTACTTAACACTACATGTTTTTGTTAAATATAGCACTGCCAGAAAGAATAGATGCCCTAGGACATAAACCTAAAATAACATGGAATTTTTAGTCAGGTAATCTTATTTAAACTAAAAATAACCTAAACGGTAGTTTATATAAACCTCAAGTATCAAGACTCCCAGCCCAGTGCTAGTTCATCAAACTGAAAATTTATGAGGCATTTACTTAGCATTTAACATTTTAAACCAGAACAAGCATGATCTGTATTGGAGACAAGTTCCAGAAAGCCAGGAATTCCAGTCTTGGCTAATGTTGCTGACTGGAACATTCCTCAGGGAAGTCCTCTGAGGGCCGCCGGAGGTAAACACTCACCAAATGTGCCACACCGCTGGTGAGTCTGATCCTGTGAGGAATGGAGAGGGGTCATCAGCATACTCCACTTCTTGATCACTTTTATAACCATCCCTTTTGTCTCCCGAGAGACCCAGTTCTCATGCCAGGACAGTCTGAAAGTATGGGGGAGAGAGACTGGTTTTACAACCAGTCTTGCCACCAGAGAAAACTTGAAAATGGGTCCAAGCCCAACATTCCTCTCTATCTGAAGTGAGACCAACCTCTCGTGGTTTAAATCTCCTCAAAGGGTGGTTTCAAAACATCCTTGTTGGTCAGGAAAACCCATCGGATGTTTGCTCAGGAAATCCCAGCCTGATATAGTGTCTGTAGGATGCATCCATGTTGTCGCAAATTGTGAAGAGGCACTAATCACAGCACAGAGACGGACCATTAATTGGAGCGTTCATTCTCCACAGGATTGTGATCTAGATTTTTTAAAGTTTTTGCAACCTGAGGTGGGAGATACTTCTGACATTGGCCAAATTGTTACAGTATGAAAGGAAGTTTTAGAGAATTCCTATGGAGAGTTGGAATCTCTATAGGGATTTAACTTTCTGAAAATACAGCAAGGATGTGTCTATTTGTGGAATATTCAGGTTGGTAGCAGTGAACATGCTTGTCACACTGCCACTAGGGATGCCTTCCCTACGTGGGCTGTGTAAGAAGAAAAGGTTTACATGGTGGAGGATTTGGGGGACAGTGACAAGTAGAACCCTTGTACAAGCTCTCAGATGGTTACGCCCGAGGACCCAGCGCAGAATCCCAGAACCATACATTTTCCAAAAACATCATTATTTTCACTAAAGATGACTAGGACTCACTCTACAAGGGGCAGTTTGACCTAATCCACTAGCATTAGTTATACCTTATCATAGCTGAAGACACAAGCTGGTGCTGCTTTTTTTATTTAATGTGACACTTTATTTCTATAACCTCTACGTGTTTCACAGAGTTTTTTTGGAATCCATCAAAGTTTTCCGAACCTTTACCCATTTGAAAACACCACCGACTGTATTTAGGTATCCAATCACATTTAAGATATTCAGTTTATCCTCTGATAAATATACTTGAAAACCCAATCAGTTCCTTCAAAAGTTAGCATGAAACAGGAGTGAAGGGATCTCTGGCAAAAGAGGAAAAAGTTGATTTTCCTTAACGTAGTGTCTGTAGGATGCATCCATGTTGTTGTGTGTTGAAGAACTCGTATTTTATGGGTGAGTGATGCTCCAATGTATGCACATGAGTGTGCATTTCACTTGTGTTCACCTCTTAGCTGTTGCACATAATGTTGCCATGAACACAGGAATGCTAACATTTTTAGATGCTGATTTCACTTCCTTTGGAAACTAACCAGAGATTCCTTTCACTATTCTGCTGACGGTTGCACCGAGGTACTAAATTAACACATGCATCATGGGTGGGTTCTCCAACTTGGGGGCACATTTTTTCAGTATTAAGCATATAATGCACTTGCTAAATATTTCCTGAGTGCTTCCCATAGGCCGGCCACTAATGGAGAAGCTGAGTTGTGGGAATCAGGAGAAAGGGAAGATGTGTGGGAATCTAGGAATCTAGGAAGAAGGTCTAAAGTTAGGTGAAGATGTCTGCACTGATAGAAGTGTGGCCATCAACACCCACAGATACGCCATGATAGTTGGTCAGTTGACCGATTAACCAGTTAACAATTGACCAGTTAACCAAAAAAGCTAGTTCAAGTGGAGAAGCATCCAGAAATAATATTTAAGTGCCTTAAACATTTTAACTTAAGCTATAAAATGGGGTTTTAAATATTATATTATATATGTATATTATTAATAAATATTTAAATATTGTAGTTTTTTGCTAATTTCATGATAGGGAGAGCCTTTTTGTTGGAGGTATGTGCCAGATGGACTTCATATCACCACCTTTACTCAAAGCATGTTTACAATGTGAATTTGAACCCAGTTTATTTCACATATTTGTATACATGTCAAGAGTGTAAAAGACCCTTATGAAGCAATCTGGAAACACAGTTTTTTGTTTGTTTGTTTTGGTTTTGGCACCGCGGATTGAACTCAGGTCCTTGTGTTTGCCAGGCCGGTGACGGAACTGCTGAGCTAAGTCCCTGGCGCTGGAAAGTTTAGCAATTTGGTGCTTTTCTTTTTGCTTTGTTTTGTCCGAAACCGTTTTGGCAGCAGTTGTGTTTTAGCTTCAGAAGGTGTGAGGAAACCCTTGTCCCTTGGTGAATGCATCCTCCTTGACTCGGGGAACAGCCGGAGGGGGCTCTGCTGGCCCAAGATCCGGGGTGCCGTGTCATCAGGCAATGCATTTCCCAGAGGAAATGGTGGCAGTGGCTTTGGCTTTGGCTGCTCTTGCTCCTCATGGGGTCTGGCCAAGGAACTTCTCTTTAGCAGAGGATAGGAGGGGCTGCAGATTTTATAGAGAAAATGGGAAGGGCTTCTCTTGGGGAGCTTTCAGCAGTAAGCAGCAAATGGGAACCAAAAGATGATCAGAGGCCAGAGAGGAAAACTAGGAAAATGGGGCTCCAGAGAAGCATCTCTGACCTTTTCAGTATTTATCTTCTGTCTATTTTTTTTTTTTGGCTCTATTCCATTACCTGGCACTTGAGAAATACCTAACAAATAGTTTTGGAATGAATTAAAGTACACTTACTTTTTCTACCACTGGGATTGTTGACAAGGAGCTGGCAACCTTATACCCAGTGTGTCCCTCTCCTGGAAATCACAGCTCAGCAAACTGCAGGCCTTTTGACCTTGTGTGCTCTGCCTTCCAGCTCACTATAATAAGATGAAGTAAGATCACCATCCCACTTACAGTGTGTGGTCAGCCTTGTCTGCCTTGCCAAGCCTCCTGGTGTCACTTGGATCCAGTTGGGTGGGGCAGGTGCCAGTAATGATCTTGGTGGACCCTGGTACAGAAATGTGAAAGATAAAAGCCCACACTTGTTAATGAATTTGAGGCCCTGAACTCATGACATTTGATAAGTCAAAGTCTTGGCTGGTTCCCACTGGCCTTTAGCACTGTGACGTATCCCTGAGAAACACAGCACTTGGATTACTGACAAAGCAAGCTTAGTCATCAGAAGCTTAAAAGTTTAAGAACTATAATGTCACAGTTAATATAATTTATTCACTCATTTATTATTAATGAATATCTGCTCAGCCTTCACACACCATGTGATCAAATCACTGCCCCCTCTCTTTCTCCATAAATTCCTTCCTGCAGTCTGCCCTGTGTGACCTGGTATCGTGCCACACCATCTTTTGTACAGGCATTCCTCTTTTAATTACTGGGTTCTGGTTCTGGGATGAGGTGGTCATTAAATGAATCGGTTGCTAAATGGAGAATCCTATATAGCATGTACATTACAATATTTAGAACAAAAATGGTCAAAGGAAACTCCAACTCGATGACTTTGCTTTCATTAGCATAACTCTTACATGCAGTGCTGCAATGTATGAGAGTGATGGCGAACCTTTTAGAACTTTCAGTAACAGCCAGCTGTGGCACGCATGCCTAGTATTCACCCCCACTGGTATAACAACATAAAACTACAGTGTTATACTGTACAGTACAATCAGCAAAGATTACAGTACTGTTCTATAGAGGAAGCCACAGTAAGGCCCCACTGCTCCTCACATTTCTGTACTGAAAGTCTGAATGTGGGTTATAAGTCCAAGTGGTAAGTCGTAAGTCCAAACAGTTCACCTCGGTCATAAATCCAAACATTTGTTAAACAGGTCATTAAACAAGTACTTAAGATTGAATTTCAGTGCACTTTATACCCTTGACCCTGGACCTGGAAATGAGATGCTTCTAGCATAGTGTCCTTTTCTCTCCTCTTTGAACAGCCTGGGGATGAACCACGATGATGATCACTCGTCCTGTGCTGGCCGGTCCCACATTATGTCAGGAGAGTGGGTGAAAGGCCGTAATCCCAGCGACCTCTCTTGGTCCACCTGCAGTCGAGATGACCTTGAAAACTTCCTCAAGTAAGTCATGGAATTATTTTGTAGCATCAGAACAATGGGAAGTTCTTCTAGAAGACAAAGTGGAGTTCAGCAAGTATGAGGAAGAAGAGTGAATCTCTTGCTGAGTCCTCAGGTGGCCTCAGGAGGTAGTCAGTGCCGAGTCCCCTGTAACAAGAACACACCTCCTCCCGAGTGTGCATCAGGTACCATGTTGAGTCTGTGACCTTTAAACACTTCTCCGTTGATGGAAATATCAGCATAGTGACCCTGTGGTGAAAACCCATTGCACTCAACTGCAGTCTGTGACAATGAGGGGGCCCTGCTTTAATGATGCCATGTAGCTGCCATTGAGCAAGCACTTCCTGGCTGCTAAGGCTGCTTCCCTGGAGGGAAGTGAATTTCCTGGGAGAGGGGGTGGCTCACCTCCCTCTCCCATGGGGAAAGGAGTATCTCTCACTGCCACTTTCTTCCTAGAAGATAACTGCATGATTCTGTTCCCAGGCTTCTGCATAAGAATTGGCCCTCTGGTTTCAGACTCTGCTCAAATTGAGTGAACCCGTGGGCCATGCCAGTCCCTTGGTGTTAAAACCAAAAGGGTAGATTTATAGCCTTGATGCAATGTATCTACCTTGATCATTTCTCTGCTTAGTTGTGTTAATCCATTTACCCTGCAGAAATGGAAGAGAGTCCCTGAGTGCTACCTGCATAGGAAGCTTTACAGTTCAAGAGTACATTAAAGTACCCAGTGCAACTGGGGAAAGTGACAAAAGCATCATCCTGTGTCTTCCTGCTTGTCTCCTGTTGCTGGGAATATTGTTTAAGCAGTAAACAGACTGAAAATAACTTGTTAGTTTTAAGATAGTCTACTTTCATTGAGTCTTTGCTATCACCCAATCATAATAAAATGTGACAAGCTGCTTGATGTTGCTTTTCTTTACCCAGAAGAATCAGAACAACAGAACAGGGTGTTTTCATTTGCTCACGTATACAGTGCAAGTCCCATTGGTGACAGGTAATGCAAGTTTAAGCCTGGAAGAGGGGACCAGCCTCATCTCTGTGTACTTGTGCACATGTGGCTCTTTTCTCTGTGTCTTGGCAGATGGCTGGGTTTTCTTTTTACTACCGTCTGCCTTGCTTTAAGAATAGAAAAATAAAAGTACTTAAGTATTTAATCTTCAGATAGAGCCCACTTTGGGTGAAATGTACCTCTCATTGTAAGTGAACTTCCCCATCCCAGTCAACATCCTGAAGTCATTGCCAACAGCAGGTGTGGCCAGGTGGCCCACTGAGTCCAGCACACCTGCTGCAGCCCAGCAAGCCCTCCAGGAGATCTAGGGAGCCAGAAATAAGCATGCTGATTTCATTTAAAATGAAACAGCCCTTACTTGTGCTTTTTCTTTATATATAGTAACTGGCTTGGAGCCATACTCTTAAGATAATTTTGTAATCTGTTTCAAAGCCATGTTTATCAAACCCCCTAAGAAGAGCCCATTTGCCTGGTGGGTTTCATTCCCAGGACCGTCAATACCTCATTGCCTTTGGGGCAGAGATCCACATTCAACCAAGTAGAAAAAGTGTAAAAAAAAAAGTAAACAAAATGCAATCTATTATGCCCACTGCCTGGGTCCTTCTCCCATAAGTACTTGAAGGTGCATCCTTCACAGGGACTGAAAAGTTAAACTGTGAACTTGGGCAGCACATTTACAAGTCAACTTGCCTCTTGGCTATTTCAGGTCCAAAGTCAGCACCTGCTTGCTGGTCACTGACCCCAGGAGCCAGCACGCAATACGCCTCTCTCACAAGCTTCCCGGCATGCACTACAGCGCGGACGAGCAGTGCCAGATCCTATTTGGCACCAACGCCACGTTCTGCAAAAACATGGAGGTAAGCAGCCCAGAAGGGCTGGCTCGGCAAGGGGCGTAAGGCTGGCCCTCCCTCAGCAGGTCTGGCTTCAGCTAGTGGACACAGGTATTCACACTTAACACAGGCATTTGCACATCTGCACCCCAGATGGCCACACATGCACACTCACCCACATATGCACTGGCAGCCACCTCCACACAGAGGCAGCTTGGCAGGGGGATGGCTCAGGGTTACTGCGGACATTCGTAGCCTAATATTTCAGCACGGATGCTTTAGGTTGCCAGAGCAAGGAAGATGAAGTCATACTTCTTAGAAGTGATGTAATATCACCCAACTTCAAATCTTGCCCCGATGAGGAAGAGAGAGTTTAAAGCTGTTAAACATTAGAGACTATCAAATGGAGATTTAACAAATAATACATTGATCATATGATAATAGTAATAAACCCATTAAACAGCATTTATTGAACAATGCCCACATTTAGTCCTAAATTTTCCAAGCTGCATGATCACACTTAGCTCTCACAACTCCCTAAATTATATCCCCTGGTTATATGCAATGATACCAAGTCAGACCATGTAATCATTCAGAATGGTTAGGCTGCTAGCAAGAATTCAGACCCAAACCTGGTCACTCGTAGAGCATATATTTTTGCACTGTTGCAAACAGGGAGGCCTATAACTTGGCCAGTTTTGGAGGCATAAGGTGCCATGAGGGACATACTGGTACCAGGGGCTTGGCATTTGTTATGTTGTGGTCGCCTATGTAACAGAGAGGGCAAGCCCTGGCCCCAGAAGGTCAAAGCAGGTTGGGAGTCAGTTAGTGCTTGGCACTGGCAAAAACCTGTACAGTATATCGCAGTGGGGCAAATAACAGTAAAGAAGTAGGTAGCTGGGAAGGGAATGGTGTTCAGAAGTCATCTAACAGGGTCTTAGCTGGGGTAATGTGTTTCCTACCATTGTTTGGGGTGTGGAAAAATGGCAGCACTTCAAAACTAGGCTAGTGTCTTCTCCAGCTGTTTCCCCCAAGGACATTTACCATGGTGTTGTCCAGAATCCTCCTCTGCCCTCCCCCTGGGCACTGTGACAGCAAGGTTCCCCTCCAGGCCTGTCTCAGGGAAAGCCATCTCCCACTTCCAACCCCCTAGATGTCCCGTACCTCCTGAGCCCCACTGTACGGTTGGATACCTTCGAGAGAAGGTATGAATAACTCCAGGGTCCAGTCATCCCCAGCAGCCTGCCATACTGCCTCACCTCATACTCACTGTCAAGTGCTACATGGCTTGACCATTCTGGCTCTCATTCATGTGCATATCTGCCTACCAGGAGCATCCTGTTTACTTGCACCCAGCTTCCATCCCAAAGTGAGTTGATGACACAGAAATGTCAAGAGAGAGTAGATTCCAAGGTGGCTTTTGATGGTGTTATAATTAGTACAAAAAATAGTATGAGGTCATGTGGATGGGACCTTCTGGAGGACACTGAGCCCTTAGAAAACACAGAAGGACCTGGGCCCTCAGTGGGAATGAGGAGGTGTTCTCAGTGGAGTCAAGGACACAGAGTTGCCACTATGCCCAGTGGGGAATCCTGTCCCAGGCTCATGAGATGGGGCAGGCCAGGAGGAGCTGGCCCTGCTGGGGTAAGCTTGTATGGTATGGGAGTTGGATAGATAATAATCCCTCCTTGCAGATGCAGCCATTTTCCTCTTTGAGAGCTCAGCAATTGCACACTCCCTGGGTGAGGCTGAACTGAAAGAGGAAATACATGTATAAGGAGCCCACATTCTCCCAAGCTAGACTGTTACTTTGAACTGTTGCATGAAACCCTTCAGTGTAACCATTGAGACAAGGACTTTTAACCTAATTTTAACAGATGAGAAAATGGGAAACAGGGGAAATTAGGTGATAGGCTAGGAATACCCAGCCAGCAAGGGACGACTAAAGAGGGAAACCCGGGTGTGTCTGTCATCGAGGGACAAAGACTGCCCTCATTCAAACACAGACCTCAAAAGGTAGGCTGCATGGTATTCTGTTTTCCTTTATTAGCATCCTTTTGTTTAAAGAGGATGATTACAGGTGAGCAATTGATTATTATCTCATTGTTATAACTTTTTTCACCCTAGAAGCTCAAAATCCAAATGTATATACATGGGGTTCTTCCCATTTGTAAACAAAGACAAACATTTATTTCTGCAGCTCACCAGGAAACTGATATTTTCCTACTTGCTTTTTCCTGGAGGGTTTCACCAATCATCAAATAAAATAAATTGGCACTTTCCATTCTGAGTTTTTGCAGCATGATTACTTGAGGAAGGGAAGGAACAGCAGTCACTTTAGGGCTCTGACAGTGAGGTGGCAGCAACTATTCATACTACAGAACATCTCACTCTAAGGTTCTGGTACTCCTGGGGAAGATGGGACAGAAGGGTATATGCCCCCCATTATCCCTTGAGAGCCCAGGACTTGGGGTGCTGCCCTGGATCTGGCACATGTCCTTTGAGTCAGATCCAGACCAAGACAGCACTGTAGTCCAGGACTCGAGAGCTCATTACATTGTCATTATGCTCCTTCCATCCCTGGGGAGACCTGCGTTCTGGATGATGTTCTGTATGGCAGGATTGTGTAAGGCTGCTGTCATTGTTCTGTTCTTCCTGGAACATAGTCTCAATGGTGCTTGTGTGTGCCTTCCCCATCTCCTTCTGTGCCCTTCATCATCCATTATGTTCCAGCTATACTGATCTTCCTACTCTCCCAGGATCCCAACTGGCTGTTGCCAGCAGAAACACATCTTGCTGCATGCAGCTCTTTTCTCTGGCAGTTTCTCTCTTAGTTATCTGTGTGACTGATTCTCTCATGTTTTATGAGTTTTCATTTTTTGTTTTCAGTGTGCGCTTTTCAATGAGGTCTACCTCATCACCCTATTGGAGACTATCATTTGGGAGTCCTCTCCCTGACAACCCTTACATTACCTCTCCTGGCCTTGAGGGGGAGAGCTCTACTTCCCAACACTGGTCATCTTTTCCCTTACTGTATAGTTCACTTACTTATTACTATGGCTTTGATAATTTCCTCTTCTAGGTTATGAACCTTTCCAGGGTAGCAAACTTTGTTTTTTTTACTCATCAGTGTTTCTCAGTTGCCATGACCAGCGCTTAGTACATATTGGGTACTTAATAGGCATATATTGTCCCTTCATTCAGCCATGACCCTAACACCATTTGTAGAGTCCTTCTTATATGGCTTTACTCGACTGTTGATGAATCAGTAGACAAGCTCAGAACTGAGAAAGAGACCCTTAGATTCCTCCATGTGTGTTGTATTACTCCCTAAGCTTCATGCTTCTCTGTCTGATTCACCAACATCACACATGAGACTTTGTCAAGGGTCTTACAGACATCCTTACAAACCATTCCTATAGCCTCCTCACAGAATGAGAAACCACTCAAGGCAATGCAGTGAGTCTAGAAGCAAGTGACCACAGGCTAGTTCTTTGTAACTATCTCTCTTTTTCTGTGTCTTAGTGTCCCCACTGGTAAAATCTCAAGCTTCTGGCAAGTTACTATAGGTAAAGTACTAAGAAATGGGTCTGACAAAAAGTCCCTAGTAAGGTGAGCTGACACTTGTGCCATTATTTCCTTTCTAGATAATGCTGATTCCTGTCTGTGGGGAGATAGATGTAATATACCTATATATCTCTAGGAGCAGTGTTTCTCTGTATACAACTCCAGGGGCTGTGAAATATTACACATTGTGTAAAATAAGTGCTTCTTATGCAAACGGACATCCAGAACAAATCAGAAAAGTCTTTTAACACATTCACAACAGGGACATAATCAATATATCTTGCTACTAGGCAGCTGTGAGCCATTGGTGATACTTGGATGACTGTCTTATCGGGTGTAAGTCACCTGATAGGATGGTCGTGCATGTACTACTGGTGGTTCGCGGTGATACTAATGTGTTAGTCCAATACTGTAAATGGTCTTTGTGTAATTTTTACTCTTTCATGTTCTTGATTGAAATGGACATTATGTCATGAACTTATCATCTAAGTTGCCTATAAATTTCTTACCCCAAATTCTGCTTCTAGCCAAGAGGGGATAACAGGGACCAGGTTTGCCCTATCATTGGAAACAGCTACATAATAGAAGGAAAGAAGCAGTGAATTTTCAAGATTCTGCACATCAAGCATTGAAGGCCTGTGACCCTTGAATGATGGGTAACCAGTGAGGCTTATTGCATGGACAGCCTCCTGCCTGCAGGACAGGGAAATATTACTAAACAGAGACAGTGGTCTTCCTGAGTTGAGGAAATTGGGCTGGTGGTACAAGGACCTGAAGCAGCTGGAGTTCCAGTGTTCAGTACAATAGAAGAAAGAGCTGGCCAAACAGAGAGCCTAAGAGATCTGAAGAGGGTCATCCATGAAAATTCAGCTTAATGGTCAGTTCATGTGTGTGAGAAAATGACCCAAGGCCGGGAAAAGAACCAGTGGAAAGGGCTCAAAGGAACAGTCTCACGAGCTCACATAGACATAGGTTAGAGCACACAGAGAGTTTTGCTTCAGTAATGTGGTAAAATTAACCTTAAACTAAATGCATATCTGGTGTCACCTAACCAAACTTTAAAACAAGATCTGAAAGGATCAGACTGTTTCTAGGCAATTTAAGCTTTGGAACAAAGCCCAAAAATGTTTATAGAATTCTAAAACTATTCAGCTCTCAGTAAAATAAATCACAATATCTAGCATTAAATAAAATACTAACATAAATACATCCATAATGAGGAATAAATTCAATCAAAATTAATACGCAGGTAATAAAATTACCTGTGTCAGGGACATTAAAACACTTAAGTCATACGCCATTGTCAAGAGGGTAGCAGAAAAATGGAATGTACTAAGTGGAGACCTGGAAGATACAAAGAAGATCCAAATGAAATGTATAGAAAGGTAATGTTTAGTTGAAAGATCCTCTGGATGGGATTGATAGCAAATTAAATACCATAGGAGAGAACATTTGTGAAC